TTTTTTTTATATTTTTTTTTTTTTTTTTTTTTTTTTTTTTTTTGAGGAGTTGGGGATGGAATCTAGGTCCTCATGCATGCCATCAAGTCTACCACTACAACCTCAACTCAGTTTAGAGTCCAGATACCACCTGATGAAGAAATTACTCCTAGAAGTAAGTTAGGTTATCTTGGAGGGAAATTTTTAACTCTTCAATCATGTATTATTTAACTCTGACCACACATACAAACATTTTACCCATTTCCTCTAATCGGCATATCTACATGTAAGCCGGCTGATTGGGGAATCAGACAAAGCCTTCAGAGAAGTGTTGCAACTTCTCTCAGGGTACCTCCTGTATTCCTGTCCTCAAGAATCTGACTGAGTCTTGCCAGGAGGAGACTTTGCTTGTTTTCACCAGAAGGTGGCGCATGCCGTCTTTCTGGGGGTTTCAGAAAGATGGCTGAGTGCAGCAGGACCATCTCGCCACCAAATTCTCAAAGGTAACTTTTTTCTAAGGATACACTTTGAAATTACTTTGGTCTTTGTGCAGCAAGTAGCCAGGTAGCAGCATGATCATTTATTTATACACACCATGGTGAAACTGCATGGTAGACCCATCCTTGAGCCCAGTGGACTGCCCTGCACACTGCAGGTATTCAGTGATACTTGCTACAGTGTGACTCTGGGAAAGTGATCACACCTAAGCCTCAACTCCCCAAATCCGAAGCTGAAGAGACAGATGGGGTAACCGTGGGGCCTTGAGTTAGAAGAGCTGTGAGCACACGGCTTTTTTTCTCCCTCCCACCAGTGAAACAGCGTTCCTACTACTGATTCAGAGACTCAGCAGGAAGTTTCTAAACTGCAAGCCCATATTTGGGTGAAATGTTCTGTTTGTATTTAGTCTGGAAGCTACTCACTGCTGAGCCCCAGTCTGTCAATATGCATAGTTTTCACTGAAAATTAAAACGGAAATAAAACCCACTTTTCCCCAACAGTCTTTAATGAAATCAAGTATGTAAGAAAATCTTAGAATAACTCAAGAAATCCATGCAATGGGAAACACAACTGCTCACAGAGCAGAGGCTAAGGGGCCCAGCACACCCAGGGGGGCATTCCCACCGAGACCTCAATTCTCAGGATTTGAGCAAATGCTCACCTTGATGCCTCAAAGTGAATGTCCTATATACATCTATTTCTCTACACCCCTCTCTCTTTTTTCTTTCTTGGTTTTTTAAGATAGGGTTTCTCTGTGTAGTCCTGGCTGTCCTGGAACTTGCTCTGTAGATCAGGCTGGCCTTGAACTCAGAGATCTACCTGCCTCTGCCTTGCAAGTGCTGGGATGAAAGGTGTGCACTGACATGGCCTGGCTAGGCCCCTCTCTTTCTCATGAAGACTTGTCCATGTTCTTGTGGAGGCCTCAGACATGCCCACATCTCCTTGCTCCCTTCTTAGCACTGAGCCTAGGAGGTCCCTGAAAGCATAACAGGATCAGGAACAGGACAGGACAGGACAGGACTGGCAATCATGTGTTTGCTGAATTAGGAACACTGTATAATTGCTAAGAGACAAGGAAGTCAGGGTTCAAATACAATGGCTTCCTTCCACTCACACATTCTAGGGCCTTGGTGGAAGAAGACATTAACACACCTCTGTGTGTCAGAGGTAGCTGCCAGTTCTCAGAGGTGCTTGTTACGATGAAAGGCAATGTTTACATAAAGGTGGAAAATGAACAGTGGGTATTAATGATGGTGACTCCTACTGCTCTCATTTTCACTGCTGGGCATTTATCCTCAGCGTCACTCCCTTAAGCTCAGATGGAATTGTCACATTTGTTCAATGATCTGTGGTCATAGGAATACATTACTTAAGTACTCCAAAATGCCATGACCCCACAGAAGGAGTTTAGTTGTAAGGCTCTCTGGGGGGCACTGCAGGGGACTTACCTCTTGACTTCATACCCTGTCTGTCTGAGGGTTTCTTCAAATGCTTTCCTCTTTGCGCCACTTTCCTTAAGCACATTAGCATCTCTGGGGAACAGACCCTCCATCAGGTCCATCGTTGTCTTCCTTCTGGAGTCCGGGTCCAAAATGTCTGCCAGAGATTTGTCTTGATGGACAATTTCCTTGGCAAGAGCCTCTGTTCGGATATCTTCCGAGGTCTTCTGGGGCTCAGCATGGATTTTCTTGCCTAGATCCTGAGTTCTACCGACAGGCTCATGGGTGAGGCTTTGGGTCTGGCTGGGAGAGGCCTGCTTGTCAAGAGAACTGGCGAGCTGTGGCTGAGCATTCCCATTCCCATCGGAAGGTGTGCTGGACTCGGCTTCTGAAACTGTGGCTGAAGTTTGAGGTGCTTTGGGAGTCGTTATGTGACTACCTTCTGAATGGACTGCACCAGGCACGTGCCCGTCCCTTGTGACTGTCACCTTGGGAAATCGGCAGGAACTACTAGGGAAAGAAAAGAGTGTGGTTAAGAGAAGAGTCAATAAAAAGCTGAAGGTAAGGACACAAAATGTGAAGGAGAAATTCTCATCAGGGCTACAGCTTCCCAAATCAGGAGTGGTGTGAGGAGATAAAGCTGTGGTGTGCTCCCAGAGCACAGGTCCCTAAAGGGCCTTCTCCTGAGCCCACGGCTGGGCCCAAGACACATTCACTAGCAATCTAGTTTTGACAAGTGTTGCTATTGGGCTCAAGAACTTTCTAGAAGGTACGATGGACAGAAAATAGTGGTGGTGAGTGATCTTTGTGGCATTTAGAAGATGCTACCGCACAGATATTTTTTATGTCTGTTTTTCAGACAAGGTTTCTATACATAGGCCAGGCTGTTCTGGAACTCACAGAGATCCACAGGCCTCTGCCTCCTGAGTGCTGAGATTAAAAGCTTGGCCCAGAGAGTGCCTTTTTTTTTTTAACATTTATTTTATTTTTACATATATTTATTTGGAAGAACATATGTACCCACAGTATGTATGTGAAAGTCAGAGGACAAGTTCTCTTCTTTCACCATGAGAGTCCTGGATATCAAATTCAGGCATCAGGTTTGGTGGCAAGTGGTCCTACTAACTAAGCCATCTCACTGGACCCCAAAGAGAATTCTGCTATGAGCAATCACCAGTCTCAGAGAATGTGTTGGGAAATACTTGTTCCTACTTAGCCTGGCTTCCACCGCTTCCCCTAAATGTCAATGACTGCTAGCTGTCCTTGCTAGTGTGCCCACAGACAGGAAACCTAATCTGGGGTTTAGTATCAGGAGACAGAAGCCATGTTCTTCACTGTCTGTTTTGCCAGCAATAAAACAGCATTTCTGGATTCTATTTATTTCTTTGACTGATCAAAGAGAAACTCAGGCAAGAGGAGAGGGTCTTGGCTCTTTCAGTTCTTACTTCTCAGCACACAGGAAGAGCTAGTCCCCCAAGGCAAACAAATTAACGGTGGTGGCAGCTTCATGAGTTGAACCAGCATGAAGATTCTTTATCTTAGGGCTCTCCCGTGAGCAACACAAGGATGCCCTGGGAACCCTGGCTGTGAACACCTGTGAGTGAAGGCTGACCCCTTCCCCTCAGCCAAAGGCTTGCCCTGGCTGTGGCTGCTCACTCACCTGCTGCCGGGTTCCTTGTATGCCTCACTGTCTAGCAGTGCCTTGTGCATAGCTTGGGGAGGAGGAGGAGGGAAGTCATCGGAGCTATTCACTTGGGTTTCCTGGCTCGGTAGAGGATACGGAGGTGGAGGTGGGGGAAGAGCCTCGAATGTGGGACTTGAAGTAACCTTGGGGTGCAAGTCCTTCACAAACACTTCATCATCATAGTCCCCCCGAGGTAGCGGGGAAGCCTGCAGGGCTGACTCGGATATTCGGAGAGAGATCCTTCCTGGAGTGTCTGGGTCTGAAGTGCTGCATGAACTTAGCAGACTCTGGTTTTGATAGTGCTTCAGGTTTGCAGACTCAGGTACTGAGGTGTCCTCTGAAAGGCTGTCTTCTCTGACTGCGTGGGCCCACTTCACCCAGGGCGGAGGTGTTTTTTGGGGCAGTGATGCCCTCCTCCATATGCCGTCTTCTAGCCCATGCTCTGGGCTGTTGAACTCATGGCATTTTGGGCTGGGAGGCTGGGTCACTGCAGGGGTGGAAGACGGAAGTCGCCCTGTCTGCCCACTCCTTTCAGTCTGATGATCCATGGTAAGCTGTGACCGGTAACTGGAGGGGGCAGGAGATGGCAGAGGGGAGCTGAGCGGGGCCATGGAGGCAGCTTTGGCATCTGGAAAGTGGCCTTGCATTCCTGCCGAAAGCGGCCTAGGGCAAGGTATTCTAAGTTGCTTCGGATGGTCTGGGGTGCCAGAACATTCCGTAGGAGCTGAAGAACCAAGAGTAGAACTTGAGCCATTCCAGCAAGGGGTAGGATGGTGAAGGGGCAATGCCGGCTCTTTCTGGGCTCTGTCTGAGCAACTGATAGACCTGGAACAGGGCAGACAGGATGGTCAGAGCTCTACCAAAAGGGCAAACCCTGGGCATCAGACACAGATAAGGACCCTCACTCCAGAGAAGCCAAACACTCTCCCTGGACCAAGTTAAACAAAGCAGACAGACAGTGCCCTGCAGGCAGTGTCAGCACGACCCTTCTTCTCTAACCTGTCTCCTGCCAGCACACACATGTAAGATGGCTTCTGAGGACAGGCTGTGGGACATGAAGGAAAACAAGGAACACATGTCTTCAGCTCCTCTTTGGACCACTTTGGGGAGCTGCTTCAAGCTCTGGGAGAAAGACTGATGCCTCACTGTTGTCCCAAGGGAGGGCCTGCCTGGGGAGAACTTGTATGGCGGCTGAGTCCGAAGGTCTGATATAGCATCTCTGTTCCCTGAGTTTTTCAGTGTCCTCATTCCCCGAGACAAAAATGAATAAACAGATAAAAAGGAGGAGACTCACCTAAGCAGCCAATTCAGTTACCTCTGCAGGAGACTGACAATGAGCAAGGGCCTAGAGGTGCCTTAAGTATCTATAGTCACCAAGGAAACCAAACAACCAACAACTCCTGACACCTTTGTTATTGAAATCAGAGGCAGATACATGTACACACACACACACACAGAGAGAGAGAGAGAGAGAGAGAGAGAGAGAGAGAGAGAGAAGGGGACAGAAGAGACAGGGATGGGAGAGAGTGCAGGGGAGGAAAGAGGAGAAAGAGTTTGGAGTACTGCTGGCCTGGACCTGTGATGCAATTGTTAATGTGTGGATTAAAAGACAATCTCTAGCAAATCCTGTCATTTATGAATTCTGTATCTGTAGCTCCCCAGCTGGCCATGGAAGGGAACCTGGAGAGCAAATGACACCTTTCATTTCACCCATCGGAGGCCCCAGATGAAGCTGTGACTCTCTCATACATCCCAGTAGCAGGCCACCACAAAACCATTACAGTGTCAGGCAAGGATACCACAGAATACAGCGGCAGGCTGCAGGGAATTGCAGCCATGTGCATGCCTTTACTTTTATTAGATACAGATGGCTGAGTAAAGAGTCTCCCAGAGCTTCTCCCTCTCAGACGTAGCTGCTCTCCCTCCCCATCACAGACCTCCTTCACTGAGTCAGTTTCTTCACTAGGGACCCTGCTACTCTCATGGGCTATTCTGCACTCCTCTGTGGATTCAGAGGCAAGGCCTCTGGAAAAGATATTTCCTTCTCTTCATGCATCTTGGCATCCCTGGCACCTGGCAGAAAGTATCCTGTTGGTGTATGTCAGACGAAAGAATGGTGTTTCCTCTGCCCAGCAACTCTCCAGATTGGAGGATAGGAACTGTTTTAAATTTAATGTCTTAGTTGGGTGTGGTATGCACACCTATAACCCCAGCACAACGGAGGCTGAGGCAGGATTCAACGGTCCAGGCAAGATTTTTGGTCTAAATAGCAAATTTCTAGACTACAGAGTGAGAATCTTTCTCAAAACAAACAAAAGCAACCAACCAAACAATAATACTTAGCATCCTCTACGGGCCACCTAGCCTGCCTTCAAGGAGATTTAATGTTAGTTTGGTGAGCGTCAAGCATTAGACTAGCTCCTTACTGGGTGCTGTACTATTCTGCGTTTATGATGTCCCCTTTAAAAGCCTCTAGACATACATTATAAACACAAAAAGATACAACAGCTGATAAGGAGCTGGCTAATACTTGGGCATTTTTAGTTTATGTTTGGTCTCTCTTATCACATTAACATTAAATCCCTTTGGAAGCAGGATTTAAGTCCAGTGCTTCACTCGATTGAGCTTCTTCATGGTGACTGTTTTTCTGTTTCTCAGGAATAATTTTAGGGTAAAAATATCATTTTGCTAATATAATCAAGGTTCATATTTGATAGGATTTCTTCTCTTTTTAAGGCTGAACAATATTTTGCTGTGTTTACCACGTTCTGTTTATGTAGTCATTCCCCTGATGGAGACTTGAGTCCTTGACTATTTCTGACTACTGTCAATAGTAAACAGAGCTGCTGTGAACTTCACACGCAAGGCTTTCTTAGACTCGGCCTTCAATCCTTGGGGATACAAACTCAGGCCTGCTATTGGTGGATTGTATGCTGGCTCAGTTTGGGATACAGACACAGGCCTGCTATTGGTGGATCGTATGCTGGCTCAGTTGTTTAATGCTTTCAGGGTCCTCCATGCTGTTTGCTATGCTGCCACCAGTTTACATGCCCACAGTGTACAGGGTTCCAACTTATCACCCTCATCAACATTTTTGTTTTTGTTTTTTGGGTTTTTTTTTTTTGTCATTGTTGTTTCTATTGCCACAAAAAGATACATACCTAGATCCAGTGCCAGCCAAACAACACGGGTCCTTCACAAAACCAAAGCCACTGTCTTCTTTCAGGAGCACACCCTGGAAGCACAAGAAAAGGGCAACACTGAGGCAGATGCAGGAAGCACAGGGAAGGAGCCTGCATACTGGTGACCTACTGTGCTCAGGCACCAAGGCAGCACTCTCACAGACATTCCCGAGGAGTCCCCAAAGCTCCAGGAAGACTGCTGGCAACAGGCATTGGTGAGGAGATAGCCCCAAGGTTAGAAGTGGGTCAGCATGAGAACTTCCGCAGGCATCTGCCCTCACAAGAACATTTGTCAAGGAAGAGATGTCCAAGAAGGATTATTCTGGAGTTAACAACCACTGCAATACTCAAATATGATGATAATGACATGAATTTCATGGGTCAAACTTTTGGAGTAACAACAGGTGGCGATGGGAAATAGGAAAGACAACAGGAAAAATTACAATTTTGCAAGTGTTCTAAATAGGAATCTAATTTGTAAATAGGAGACAGTAAACTCTCCCAAGTCTCCCTGTTATGTGCTATCAGTGGCTTTTCAGGGTAGTTTTCGTTTGTTTTTCACTATGAGTAGCTATCAGTATCTTGAAAGGGTTAATACTGCAACACTGATGGTGTAAAATCTGTCCCAGGTGATCTATCTGGTCATGATGAAGACACTGTTGCTATAGATGATAACGTAATCAGTTTTCCATTATTTACAGTAATAAGACACAGGTAGGAAAGGAGAATGCATATATGAACCTAATTTTAGTAACTTACTATTTACTCATCTAATGGGATAATTCTTTATCCATGTTTTTGACTGGGTAGAAGAGGAACTTATAGGTAATGAAGACTCAAATGTTGCTGGCTGAGGAGATAACAAGTGGACAAAGTGCTTAGTGGGAGCTGGAGTTCAGATCCCTAGAGGTCATAGTGGCCTGCCTGTGATTCTAGCACTTCAGAGACAAGGGTCCCAGAGAAAGTTGGCTACCTAGGTAAGTTACACTCATGAGCTCTGGGTTCAACTGAGAACTACCACTAGCCCAGGGGAAGAAAAGATTCTCAATGTTAACTTTGGGCCTCTATGCACACACACACACACACACACACACACACACACACACACACACGTCCTGCAAACATATACACATGTAAACAAAACAGTCAGAGGTTGGATGGAGATAGAGTTCAATGGTAGAATATTTGCCTAGCATGCATAAGGACCTAGGTTCAATTTTCAGTATTGTCTTTCCTCTCCACTGCGGCTCCCCAAGAGTTAAAGGTGATCACAGGCAGATGAAGTGAATGGGAGCTCAGACATTAATAATCACACAATTCCCTTATTACGTATATTACAGTGTGCCAGACACTTTGCTGAGTATCTTGCATGGAATATTATCTATTTGACATTTCCACTGAAAGTTGCATATATACACGCATGCATAAGTACACATGTACATACCAACCAATCACGTGAATGAAGCTCACAAACACTGCCTACAGTTAAACAGAGGAACTAGGATTCAAGCCAGGACTGCTTCAAAGCCCAAGATCTTTCTGTGGAATTTCAGTGGGTTAAATGCAGCCAATGGGTGCGATCAGGTTTGAACACTTGAAGATGACTTCCATGCACTGACTATAGTCCTTTAAGTTTCATCCCACCACCCCTCCCTGTTGACAGCCCTATAAATCTCGCCCCACCACATGCCCACCACCCTCCCTGTTGACACGAGTGCCAGTTTTTGCCAACAGTTAACCTGAGTAGCCTAGGACTAGGACCCATCTGAGTTCCTGGCACCATCCTTAACAGTCATTTGTTCTGCAACTGTACTCTTCAAACAAAGAGGAATACAAGGGGAAAAAGCAATGGTGCTGTGTGTTTCGGAGAGAATACCCAGGAATCGAGGGAGAGGTCTCATCTTGTCAAGCTTTGGAGCAAAGCTCTCAGGCTATTTGTAGTTCAACACAGTGGCCTCTTGCATTTATCATTTCAGACCTCCAAATTATCAACCACTATACTCAGGGGAATTGATTTTCATGATGACTTGTTTTGGAGACAAAAAGTACCTGACTGTCAGACTTTTGAGAAGGACTGTCAGATGTTTGTAGAGTTGTTCAATACCCAGTACCTACACATTCTCTCTCTCTCTCTCTCTCTCTCTCTCTCTCTCTCTCTCACACACACACACACACACACACACA